AAATTAAATTAAATTAAATTAAATTAAATTAAATTAAATTAAACTGACCCTGAAGCAGAAGGTTTTATGTGCATGCACATTTAATAAACTATAGTTTTGCCTCCACATCCTCAATGTCAGAAAAATTTTCTTTTATTCCAAATGGTAACGTTTACAAAAATCGAATCTTTAGGCAAGACATTTTTCATAAAACATCTTTATAAAAAAGTCTGCATGTGTAAATTTGGGAGGATCATATTTACAACTTTAATGACTCATATACTGTGAAATAGGGGCTCTGGGAAGAAGAAAATAAAACAAAAATAAAGTTTTTATTCAGAGAATCGAACAAAGCAAAAACTCAGTTTGGTGTAGATGCTGATATTAAATATGAGTGGAAATACGAGCCAATGAGTTGAAAATCTAATAGACTGAAATATAAATAAATGTTTTTTTTTTTAAATATAAAAGTATAGCAGACTACCAACATAAACTGTATAGATATTAATTGCAATTTTATATCAACCAATAAAATGTCTTAAGATGACAGTAAAATGCATTATTTTGAAATATAGCTTCCAAGTATTGCTTTTTTTGTGAGGGCAAAACAATTATAGAAAGCAAAACAATGACTCAAAAGCCTGATTTTTACTTATTTTTTATAATTTGATTTAGTTTACTTGGAAATATTTCTGAAATATTAAATATTTACTTCATTTACTTTATTAAAATCAGTAGATATTTTATAGCAAAATGCATGTGTGAATCCTGAGCTGAAGGCAGATGATTACTTGCTAATAAGCTATAAACAATTAATCAGATGACAAAGGCGTGCAGTTGGTTGTGTGGAACAGGTTTTTCAGCAAAGTTTTGATCATGTTGATGATTTAGAGGACTGATAATGTAGGCTTTCTATAGTGAAAATAAATCCCTCACCATCCTGTGTGCACGCTCCCAACAGATTGATGATGTTCTTGTGCCGGCCAATCATCTTCATCATCTCCATCTCTGACACCAGGTCAGAAAGATCCTTCTCGGTCGCATCATCTAGAAAGATCAGACAAACAAAACAATTAAACCTCATTCAGAAAAAGCCATTCTTCCTATTTCCTGCTCAGCTGAGATCATATGACATTGTAAAGTAGTACTAGGGAACTGCATGCTTGGCTGCAAGCTTCGTCTTATCATGGGATACAACTCTTCTCATTGTTCTGGGTTTACACTGTAGATCAGGGGTGTCCAAACTCGGTCCTGGAGGGCTGGTGTCCTACAGATTTTAGCTCTAACTTGCCTTAGGCAACTGCAAGGATGTTTCTAGAAAACCTAGTAAGAGCTTGATTAGCTAGCCAAGGCGTGTCTGACTGGGGTTGGAACTAAACTTTGCAGGACACCGACCCTCTAGGACCGAGTTTAGACATGCCTGCTGTTGTACACTCCAAAAATACTCGATCATACTACTTCAAATAAACTGAAACAACAAGATTTCATTGGGACAATTTATTTTATGTTTAATCCACATAAATTCGCTAAAAGTGTTAAGTTAACTTAATCCATTTGTGTTGGGACAACATGAATGAATTGTGAGGAACCCTGCATTTTGTACAGTATAGCGTACTACATAATGTAAGGAAGAGTTGAATTGTTAGGGGACAAAAGCCTGGGGTACTTTCTAATACTTTACCAGACCAGAGTCAATTATTCTGCTTAAACTATTCTCATGTGAAAAAAAATACTTTAGTAAATAATAGTAAACACTGTATTGATTTTTTAAACCAAACTATGGTACAGTAATTGAATGAATCTGTTGCGATAATTCTATAGCTGACCATTTCAATGTGGCCATGAACAATTCCTGCTCGTTATCAAACTATTTCATAACTCAAGAGGCAATTCAATCATTAATAATTAATGTTAAAACAGCTATCACAACATTATTTATCAATCTGGGGCTCTTTTTGGACTCCTGGAAGCTACAGAAATAAAATCAATAAAATAGGAAATACGTTGGGACCATTGTTTTTGTTTACATCCCTCATAATGGTCTATAGGAACTACAGCATATATTATACTATAGTATATACACTGTAAAACAATTCAGGGTTCAACACAATTAATTTATGTTGTCCCAACGCAAATCGATTAAGTTAACTTAACACTTTTAACAAATTTATGTGGATTGAACATAAAAAATTAAGTTGTCCCAATGAAATCTCAAGAATTGTGTTGTTTCAGCTTATTTTAAGTAGTTTGAACAAGTAAAAAAATATATACAGTTGAAGTTTTATTTATTTATTTATTTTTTATAGTTCCCAAATTATGTTTAACAGAGCAAGGAAATTTTCACAGTATGTCGAATAAATTTTTTTTCTTCTGGAGAAAGTCTTATTTGTTTTCTTTCAGCTAGAATAAAAGCAGTTTTTAATTGTTTATTAACAATTTTAAGGACAAAATTAATAGCCCCTTTAAGCTAACTTTTTTTCCGATAGTCTACAGAACAAACCTAATTACCCTAACCTGCCTAGTTAACTTAATTAACCTAGTTAAGCCTTTAAATGTCACTTTAAGATGTATAGAAGGGTCTTGAAAAATATCCAGTAAAATATTATTTACTGTCATCATGGCAAAGATAAAAGAAATCAGTTATTAGAAATGAGTTATTAAAACTATTATGATTAGAAATGTGTTGAAAAAATCTTCTCTCCATTAAAACAGAAATTAGGGAAAAAAATAAACAGTGGAGCTAATAATTCAGGGGGGGGGATTGGGGAGGGCTAATAATTCTGACTTCAACTGTGTATTTTTGAGTGTGTATTGGCACATCTAATAGCTCATAGTAACATGCAGTAGCTACCTCTTTGCAAGGATTTTTGACCATATAGCCAAGTTAGTTGGATGCAGACCAAGTGCACCTGAGCTGGATGCAATGCTTTTAATGCACACACCAAAACCCACCTTTAACCATACTCCTCATAGTAAAGTCACAAGCTCCATTGAGTGCATTGTGTCTGAGATGCATGCCTGAGACTGTCTCAGCTTGCATATGCTATCTGCAGTCAGATACTATTGGGTTAGTTAATCTCCATCGGCTCCTGGTAAAGCATTGAATTATTAGCCCCCCTGTCTATATTTTTCCCAATTTCTTTTTAACAGGGAGAAGATATTTCGAAACATAATAGTGTTAATAACTAATTTATAAGAGCTGATTAGGTTTAAGTTGGTTAATTAGGCAAGCTCGGGTATGGGCAATTCATTGTTTAACAGTAGTTTGTTCTGGAGACAATTAAAAAAAACAAATATTGCTTATGGGGGATAATAATATTGACCTTAAAATGATTCTAAAAATAATAAAAACTGCTTTTATCCTGGCCGAAATGAAACAAGTAAGACTTTCTCCAGAAGAAAAAATATTATAGGAAATACTGTGAAAAATTCCTTGCTCTGTTAAACATCCTTTGGGAAATATTACAAAAATTTCACAGGAGGGTGAGTAATTTTGACTCCAGCAGTATATGCTAGTATATGCAGTGCACTGGCAGGATTGTCGTGTGTTACTGTCTGTCTGGGTGGTTTAGTGTTACACTGAAGAGCCGCCGCACAGCTCTCCTTTCATTGCCTCACAATTAAAAAGCGTTTCTTCCATTTAGAGTAATTACCTTCGAGACAGTCGCCTTTTCATTATCTGCCTGCTGATCAGTGGAGCGAACCTGACACAATCCACTGAGCGCCTGAACTGCTGTGTGATCTGACTCCAGCTTCTTCATCTAAAACTGCTCTGCTCCCTCAACACACTCTTCAACTCTATGAAGTTTGATGCATTTGTGAGCTTTAATTGTGTTATATTAAGCATATAGCGGCACGATAGCTCAGTGGTTAGCACTATCGCCTTACAGTAAGAAAGTCACTGGTTTGAGTCCCAGTTGGACCACCTGGCATTTCTGTGTGGAGTTTGCATGTTGTGCCGTGTTGGTGTGGGTTTACATTCCAAACACATGCGCTATAGGTGAATTGAGAAAACTGAAATTGGCCATAGTGTATGAGTGTGTGTGAAAGCAAGAGTGTATGGGTGTTTTCCAGTACTGGATTGCAGCTGGAAGAGCATCCACTGCAAAAAACATATGCCGGAATAGTTGGCGGTTCATTCTGCTGTGGTGACCCCTGATAAATAAGGGACTACGCTGAAGGAAAATGAATGAATGAATATATTTAGTATTATATTCTGTATTTATACTGCATTATATTTAACAAATTTAAAAAAACAAACAAAAAAAAAAATACAGGGATGTTTTAACAAATGTTGGACCAAATATGGACAAACTCTATTAAGTTTATCAAGTAGGGTTAAAAAGTGTCCTTTAAATTTAATTGAATAAAATTAACTCAACATTGGGTTTATGCACACTGTAATCTATAATTTTACGTTTATTTCTGGCAAGTGGGTTGCCAGAAAAAAACTTTAAATAATGTCCGTAAAATTACAGAAAATTACCAGAACATTAAATTTAAGGAAATTTCTGTAATTTAATATCCGTTATTTTACAATATATTTCTGTAATTTACGGTTGTTATCTTTTTAAATTACAGATTTAGTTTTTTTTACAGTGCATATTTAACTTGACATTGAGTTAAAATGTTTTAGATTGCAATGCTTTTAATGTTTTTCATTCTTGTTACATTTTTCTTTTTAGAAATATGTATTTCTTTTATAATGTTTATTACTGCTTTTCACTTTCTTTTTGCTTAATTTTATATAGATTTCATATTGTTCAATTAGTTATTTAAAATAACTTAATCACACTTTTGTATTTCAGCAGACTTTTAATACCTGATTGTTAGTGTTGGTATTTGCATTAATTTTCTAATAAAACAAATAATAAATACTAATAACAACAATCTAAGACCTGATATACTTTATATATTATATATTTATATATTCTAGCCAAAATAAAACAAATAAGACTTTCTCTAGAAGAAAAAAAAATATTATAGGAAATACTGTGGAAAATTCCTTCCTCTGTTAAGCATCATTTGGAAAATATTAGTTTGGCAAATAGGGCTAAAGATTTTGACTTCAGTTGTGAAAATGATACAATTTAAAACTGAATTATACTGAAATTTTTGTAGTAAATTCATAAAACATAAAATAAGGAGAGCAGATATTTTAAAAAATACTAAAATATTGGTAACAGTATTTTAATGGTCCATTTGAATATCAGTAGACTGACTGCTTAATATGTGCTGATAGAGCTCCTTCACCAGACATTTAACTGACTATAAGAAACTTTGCAAGTACATGTCAACTTACACTAACCCTAAATCCAATTTAACAGTCTACTTATAATCTAATGAGAATTAGTTAGCATGTAGATGCAATGTAACTTATATTTAACAAATGGACTATCAAAATAAAGTGTGACCAAAATGTTAAGTCCAAGCGGTGAAAATCATAATCAATAATTGTAACATTAGCTATGTTTCCATTGAAAAATGCAAATTAAATTTAAGCGCAAAACTGGAGTATTGCATAAAAGACACACGAATAAAGCAGTGTTTCCATCCATTGAGTCACAGAGAACTAAATCATCACTTCCTGATTAACTGCCACCAAATATCAACAGAAAAAATAACAACATCAATATTACAATCATAATAATGACAATAATAATAATAATAATAATAATAGCAATCATAACAACAACAAAAAAAAATAATAATAATCATAATAATAATAATCCATCATCATCATAATCTTCATATAATAATAATAAAATTTATAATAATAATAACAATATTTCTCAGAGATGGGTTGAATTTACTGCAGTAGGAGAAGCTGCGTCAATCTTTTCTTCATTTAATAAATGACTTGCGCCTCAGAAGACAGTATGCCGACACGTAATGAATGTGTGGTGGTGTTTGAAGGCGTGAGACGCGGAGGTGTTTTAGAATGAGCTAAACAGCATTTCAGATGTTTTACAAGGTGCTCAGCCTGCTGGTTTGTACAGTCACACACATTTTTAACACCACATGATCTCCTATAACAAAATCACAGA